AGGTTGGAGGTCATCGCTACTAGGGTGGAGGCCCGCTAGAAGGGTTTCACGGACAAACCTGCCACAACTTCACATCGGAAGAGCTTGGATCGCAAAGGATGTGAGTGTTCACCTCAGGAGTGCAGCAAAGAAGTGCCAGGCAATGCATGTTTTTTTCCTCGGGGCATTGAGGAAGCCACAACAACCAGGCAATGACCACCAGTGGGTCCGGCCTCATACACCAGTGGGTTTTGAGGGCAAGAACCAAAGAAACGAATGGCCGTTCACGCCTGGCAGCTGTTGGTTGCTTTGATCTGCTGATCTTCCAACATCACCGCTAAAGCAATATTTCCTTGCGGACTCTTGTGCAGCGAAGGATCGAGTTGACAAAGATTCTAGGACACACACAAATGACAAAGCAAATAAACGTCTACGTGCCGCTCGCCTTTGGATAGCCTTTGAAGACCTGAAGCCCAGGCATGAACTGCTGACGTGGTTACTTTTGCCTTCTCTGAGTAGCTCAGTTTCAGACACCTTTGGTCATCACCAGTGTTTGGAATTTCACAAGATGTTTCACGGTCGTAGTCAATGACCTGAACAAACTGCATTAGGACAGGTCACCTGCCACATTGCCATATGAAAATGAATAGCCAATGCTGCACAGCTTTGGGTGCCATTGCCTGCTTGTCAAAGCGGCGGAAACGGGAGGTTTTGTAAAAGGTCGCACAGCCTGCAGAAGAACAATGCACATCTCTGCCTTCCTCTCCAGAATTGGAGAGTTGCTTGCCTACAGCCAAGTGATCCGGCCTTCAGCTATGTACTTCCCATGATGGAAGATGGGATCCTGCATACCAAGTGCTTAACAAATGCAAAAGGCGTAGAATATAGATTAATAGACATTAAACATACCACATGCTGCATAAACTGTATAGATAAACGCGTATAAGCAATCTTTGCATATCTTTGCCAACTAAATTGTAATGTGTTTGTGTGGAGCACACGAAGGCAGTCCCGCTTCTTCTGCTGAAAGACACCTTCGTAGCCTGCCTCCAACAGCTGGGGCCTTGACAGGTCAAAAGCAGAAAAATCTTGGACCTCAAGGGCTCAATCGGGGTGTTCGTTTTCAAATCACTTAGGATAGGCGACATTGAGACGATCGAAACTGTCGAGTTGGGCAAGAACTGCACGGCGTCATTGAGACAATCGTGTTTTGCACTTGCTCTCACCGTCAGCGACCTTGCAATCTATATAAGGTACAGTATCTTTGGTGCGAAGCCGGCACCGAACTGCCAAAGTATCAAAGCAAGGATACTCCAATAAATGCACCGGAACAAAACATGAACTGCTGCACTATTTGCCAAACCAATCAACTGGTTGAAAAAGTTGTCAATGGAATCATTGAGAACACCAGCCAAGCCCACAAAGCCGTCAGGTAACAACCGGATGAAATATTGCTTCGAAAAAATGAGCACAAAAAGAGTTGGCCTGAACCAATCGTCGTATGCATCCTTCTGAACCTTATTGAATGCACAGTAATCAAGAATCACAAACTGTACAGTAAGAAAGGCTGAGACCTCTTGTAGCGTGATGATGTCAACTGCCATCGACTTGAGCTCCTGAAGCTGGTCAACGTGATACTAGTACAGTACAGGATTGTCCACAAAGCAAAACTCGCATTGCTCGCCTTCATGATCAAATGCTTCCGCCAATCCCAAGAGAGGGCCCACTTCTCGCAATATGGATAGGCCTTCATTTTTGCAGCCACAACCAGCGTCTGCGGCTTCATTGATTTTGGTCCCTTTTGTGAGCTGAGGCAACCGCAGTTTCATTCGCATAAAGGTCAGCCAAGACCTCATAAGAACTTCTGCTGCTCTGCAGATATATTGAGTGAGCTTCACACAAGAATTGCATCCTACAAGAAGGAAATTGAAGGAGAACGTTTTAACTTTGGATCCACTGCTTGTCTTCTGGTCGTAGCCAAATCTGTCTTCTGGTTGTAGCCGTTTAGAACGTTGTACCTACTCTTGAATGCTCACCTATACTTCTGGAGTATACCACGTCTGCTTAATAAGTATTTGAAAGTTATAGTAGAAATTCAAAGGGCTTGTAGCACGTTTGGCAAGGCCGACACATTCCAGTTCATCACTTTGAACTGCTTGTTCAGCCAATCTACCTGAAGTCTCGTCACACTCCAATCCGACAGAACGTGCAAGGTTTGCTGCTTCTCGGTACTCGCATCATTCGTTTGTTTGTTCTTGCTTGTTCTTGCCTGTGCTTGCTCGCTTGCTTGCTACTGTCTTGGTGCTTTACCTGCGTCGGTCCTAACCAAAGAAATGATATGCTTCTCTCACAAACCCTAATCTAATCCTTTTTTCCAAAGAACATGTGTACTGAGCACTGGGAGAACGCCTTGAAATTGTGTTCTGTTGTGCTTCAGCAGAGTGACCAGGCTTGAGTTTTTCGTTGCGTACAACATTGGCCAGGCTCTTATTATATAGTACTTGCCTGCAGTGTTGGGCAGGACAGGAGAGGACACAACACGAGCACACTAGACTCCGCTAGGCCCATTCTCTCTTATCCAAGAATCCCTCACCCATGCGCCTTGATTCATTCATTTGACTCATTCCGAAACACTACAATGATAGTAACAATGAGAGTGTGTCAGCGGACAAAGGCAATCTTAGGCCGGTTCATGGATTTGACCATGTTGTTTGGTCACAGTTCGACGGCAGCGCGCCTCAAAGTCACTCGCATGAGAACTGATGCAAGCGCACGGTGTTTGGAAGTCGGCAATTCTAAGCCACCCTGACCCTACCTCCTGAGGACTCTGGAGGATGGTCCCAGTTGGGATGGTCATGAAGTCTTTCTCGGACTTGACACGGCCCTGGCAGCTTCTTGTCTTTACCAAGAACTGCACACACAGTGGAATTGTTGTGGCAGCAGGTGAAGCTTGAGGACATCTTTGCATCAAAGCTACCACCACCGGCATGGCTGCCGGCTCAAACGACTCTTGCTCCCTCAGGGCCTGAACAGTTGGGCTTATCAAGGATGCTCATATTGGATCCCGATGAAAAGATGTGTTGTCTTTATGGACGAACTAACATCGGCCTTGGTTGGTGGTGGACGATCAATGTCCTGCAAGCGAATTGAATGGATCTGCCAAATCTCTCCCCTCTCTTGGTGTATCATTCTCGTTCTCTCCCTCTCTTGCGCTCCGTCTCAGTGTCTGGCTCCTTTCTGCTCTCTCACCAGCTCAACACGAGGTGCAATGGAGGGAAGTGTTGCAAGAATCCCTGTGTTGCAAAACACAACAACTTGAGATTCAATATAGATTATATATATATATTATATATATATGATTATATAAAATTATATAGTGTCTTTTGCTTCCCCCAGTCCGAACTCAAATTTCGCCACATGCCCGTGCTGTGTCCTCCTTGCAAGGGCGGGACCAAGTTGGAGCCTTAATTTCCCATCAAAGAATCGATGCAAATCACATCATCGGCACTTTCTCGGCCCTCCGCCGCGAATTCTGCACCAGCTGGCGGCATCTTGAAGGACATCCAGTCTTCACAGTCTTCAGTGTTGGCGACCCAGGTGCTGTGAGCCGCCTCGCAAAAGCTGCCAAGTGTGCGACATGTCCAAGTTTTTCCATTCCAGCCTGGAGACCGTCTTGGGGGGGGCCTGTTACATATCTATAAAGAGCAAACATTACAGTATTATATAGTTATATATCGAGCCAACTTGCCCCATTTCCTCTGCTTCACCTACCTGTGGTTTGGGCTGCCTCCCACCCAGGAAAGGGACTTTCCTGCAAACTCACTGGTCAAAGCAAATGTCCTGAGCACTGAACTCTCAAGCCGGCCTTATTTTGTCATAAGAAAACACACTATTTGACACATCACCCGTGGTCCACTCAATAGGGGGTTGCTCCAAGCAATTTGACTCCGTACAAATGAACCACTTCCTCTAGAGGAAGCTTTCAAGCTCCCTCTGAAGCTCATGAACACCTGTGTCCTGGCACAGCTGTCAATGGAAACTCACCATGCCTCTTTGGCCCCCTGGGCGGGCGGCTGCGGCACCTGCGCCTCGCGGCTACCCATCATGCAAACATGTTGAGCTGCGTTCTAGACTCTTGATCCGTCAATCCTCTCTGCTGGTTGGTCCCACACTTGGAAAAACGAGCTTTGGGCCCACACTTTCGGCTTCCAGATCAATCGTGCCTGCCAACCAAACCATTGCTGAACAGTAGCGCCAATCGTGCCAAGGTAATTCCAATGAGAGCTAGTTTTGGGGATAGTCTGAAGGAAAGAAATGCAACAAATAATGCCAAGTGGCACAGGCAAAACACAAGGATTCCCAGAACAATACTTGCTGTTTGTTGTGCATGGTTCAGAAAATGCCACATTGCTGATGTCTCATCCTGACTTTCACCTGCATCAAGTTCGCGGAACAGCAGCCCCATCATGCGATACTTCCAATTGTGCTTGGGAGGGGCCAGGAGGTTACAAAAATTGACACGTCTGTGTTTCGCTTTCGATCTGCTACCTTCACACAAGTTCACAATATAGCAGTTGCATCACTGTTGTCAAGCCTCCTTGGCCTCCTTTGGGGGCGGTTGTGACACCTGTGCGTCGCAAGCCGTCCGCAATAGACTCTTTTTCTACAATCTGCACTACTGTAGTCTCCATTGGATCCACAAGCTTTGGGCCCGCACTTTTGGCTTCCAGATCAATCGTGCCTGCCATTGACGAGCAACTTGCGCTACAGGTCCATAGGCTGAGCAAGAGTAAATTGAAATACATGACAGGTGACACGGTAGAAAAGCAAGGATCTCAAAGTAATGTTGTTTGTGAATATACCTGGGTTAATGCCCTCTACTAATTTGACTCTCGTCCACGGCAGAGTCGTTGTTTTGCTGTTGCGTGATATTTCAACCGATCAGGGCACACAAAGGTCGCACAACTGTCGTCGGGCCTCCTTGGCCTCCTTTGCAGGCAGTTGTGACGCCTGCGCTTCCCAAACCCTCCAATAGGATCTTGGTCCAAAAGCCTAAAGCTACTCTGCTGTAGTCCGAACTCTCAATGGTGCTATTATGCTGGATGGCGGCGTTCAGGGCACACAGAGGTCGCAACGGCGTGCTATGTTGGAATAGCTCCTCCGTCCTCTAAATTGTACCCTCTTGTGGCTCACAAACAGGCATGCCAGGTATGCTACATTGGAATGGCTCTTTCCTCCACTAAACTTGACCCTGAGTGCAGAGTAGAGACTGCACTTGAAGATTTGCATTGTTCCTGTCTTCATGGCAGGCACAGCATCCTTTGGTGTATCGGTGCGGCCATTATGGTGAAGGCTTCCATTGCTTCTAAAATGCGCCTGTACAAGCGAGTCATTGTCCGTGTGTACAAGTGAGTGCCATGCCCTTGTACGGTGCAAAGCCCTGTCCTCTACATATATTTCAAGACTTATGTCCACCCAACATGTTTGTATGAGTCTGAGTAATCTTGTTTAGTTCCTCTGCCTTTGTTTCATTACATGGCTAAATGTCTACGAGTAGTTTGCTTCTGCTTTTTGTTCATATTCAGCTCGGGGCCTCCAATCTTGGGCTGACATCTGGCAACTCTCCATCCTTGGAAGGGTGGGCCGGTAGGAAATCTAAGCAAAGAGGCAGCTCGGTTGTTGGCTTCACTGCTTCACAGCACCTGGCCTCTACACTTGAAATAAGAACAAACACCTGGCATTGGACCTGCTGAGCCTGCTGGAGCAGCCCCTTTCGCGAGGCAGGTATGGTCTGACCAGCAGAACCAGGGCAAAAGCGACATGTGTGACGGTTGCGGGTGCATCCTCTTGGAATTCTGATTGCAGTTCTATCAGGGAGTGGAGCTGGAAGACGCGGTGTCAAGGCTGCGTCAAGTGCGTCCTAAGCACCTTTTGGCTCGCATGATTGCAAAGGCCAGAGACTCATCCGGCATACCTTACGTACCTTACGTACCTTACTCCCCTTTGAGATAGCCTGGGCCTTCCTTGCCCAATTACTTCTGGAATTTGGCGTTCGTGGAGTCAAACCAGCACACCACAGAGGCCCATGACACCCAAGCAGACCGCCCGGGTGTTTGACCCCTGACCACAGAGGGACCCGACACCGCTCTACGGCTCTACATAAACAAGACATAGACATGTGGGGGTGACATCTGACAACAAGTTTGAGATCCTCACAAGCTAGCCTGAAGCTTCAAACCAAATTGGGCTGAAAGGGTTACGTCTTCAGAAGTCTTTGCTGGGAGTTCCGAGTCAGAAGTTCTGGGTTCCTAACATAGTTAAACGTAGAATCCAAGTTCTTTGACAACTCTCTTCAGCATTGCCTAAAGACATATAATGGGTCTCACCAACTTTTGCAAAATCGTAGTGACATCGGGCGTGGACTTCTCCGCGGTTCCCTGTCAAGCGGCCACCACTTTGTTCAAGGCCTCAGGGCATGAGTCATGCAGCGGCTGCCAGACGATCGGTCAATGCGTGCTTGATGTATTCAGGAGAAACTGGAGACGCCAACCAGTTCGTCACTCACAAAGTGACCTACCAGCACTTACGGTTCCGGGTCACCTTGTGAACTCGATCTCCATTAAACAGTAAACACATGTAAACACCCCCTTCACGGGGCATCTCAGCGGCCCCCCGTTCAGACGGCCCTACACTCTTTGACCACCAAGTCAAGTCCTTCTTACTGGTGGGGCGTCGTAGTCTTACAGATCTCCCGCAGGTGTTTCTCTTCCTACATTACCAGTGTGCCCATGAAGTCTCTCCTTCAGGGTGGCCCTCATATTGAAAGAGAACATGAAAACGGGCAAACAAGGACCTGAGGCCTGTGATTTATTTTTCTGTGCTAGTGCAGTATTGTGTTGTCATAGCTACAGGTGCCTACATTATTGTAGAAGAGTCAGAAAGAAAAGAACAAAATGTGTAGCCTGAGGGCCGTGTAGCCTTCATAAAGTGAGATCAGGATATTCTGCTCGTCCCTCTTGGCTTTGGCTCTGAACGAAGTGACCCAAGGGACACCAAGTGACAGTGTAAACCGCACGACTCCTAGTCCTTCGCACCTGTCGCACCTGTCGCACCTGTCGCACCTTGCACCTCGTCCAAGCCCCTGATCCTCTTCACCATTCTTTTTGCCGCTCCTACTTAATTAAGTAAAGGCGACTAGTTAGTTCCTAGCAACTGGACACAGGATAGCTCACGCTTCTTCAAGGAAGCGCTCGCACTAATGATTTGGTTCCTAGATTTTTAGGGAAACTTTGATTTTCCATTATAAAAAGGACTTGACATGACTGGACTGTGGGCTATGGTGATGGTGTGTGGTTCAGAGCTCCAAGTGGCAGATGCATGGAGTGGCTGGGAGCAGCCAGTTGCGCTAAGTGGGGCCAGATCCTCAGACCATCAAAACAATCCGCGAGTTGGAGTGACAAAATGACATGTTTCGAAAAAGGTGGACTGATGAGTCACCAAAGGTCTAGTAATAGCTAGTAAGCTAGTACTACCAATGTCTCCATGTGCAAAATTACACCTAGTCCCCAATCTTGAGTATCTGATTCAGGTATACTTGACCACCAAGAATCCGGTCTTCACGGATTTGTGCACCCACGATACTGGGGTCCATGAAACCAGTCATCCCGCCATTCCATAATGCTTCCCTAGCCGAAGTGGCAATGTGATCGGACGCTCGATCCACATCCAGCGGCACCTAGCCATGTGCTGAGCATTGAAACAAAACCATGTGTGTGCGAGCGAAAGAGTCTTTCCCTGTGGACCCAATATGATCCAATGACAACAGGTGTCCTGAATCGCCTACGTAAGTTTGCCGTTTTGATTTGGTGGCATTCGAGGTTGTCATCTACTTGAAGCAAGGCACTTTTCGCCACCCTGGACGCGTTTGAGATGAGTTCCGAGTTCCGGGCCTTTCGTTCAACTCTAGGCTGATAGAAGCGAACCGCCTCCCGAGGGTGTGCCTGGACACCGGGCCGGTGTTCACGTCAGTCCCTTGGGCCCTTGAGAGCACTTTCGGGTGGTGTGTGGCAAGGGGTTAGGTCTCATCATCCGAACAAAAACCTTGTCAGACATAGCCGCCCAAAGAACCCGGCCCGAAGGAAGAAATCCAAACCCAAACATCCAAGTCATCCTGCAGCTTGCAGAAAATGTTTAGTGAGTGGACTTGGGCTTTGATGTGAATGGAATGTGTTGCAGGCAATTGTCTAAAACTTCTGAAGATATCTGAAGGAAAAATATCTCAAGTCGGGCAAAAATTGCCAGCTGTCTTTCCAAGTTGTTGGGACACTGATCTGCAATCTACAACTTGTGGTTTCTCGCAAAACTCCGGCAACACTGCAAATTCCCGCAAGGCAGGAAAAGTTACAGCTTGTTTTTGGCAGGGTGCTGAGCGATGTTCGTGTTGTTTTGTGCCAGCCTTTCATATCCACATTAGTTCACTGGCGAGCAGTTTTCCTCGACACTTCAAAAGCCGCAGACCACCCCCGCCAGGCACACCATGACCGTTGCCACGCACCTGGCTAAAAAGCTCTATCTCCAGTTGCAGGCGGCGGGCTTCAACACGCCAGCGGATCTGTGAAAGCACAGCCTCACCTTGGAGAGATTCATTTCCAAACAAAACAGGGTTCCTACTGACGGGGCTTCCCATTAATGCAAGAATAAATGTTCAACTCACTCAACTTGTGGAATATATTGGTGTGATTAGTCGTCCTTGATATTTTGTAGAATCCTTAGAAAACATTTCACGGCCATTGATGCAAAGGGTGTGAATCAAAGCCAGCCAATTTCGTTGAGAATCATGTGTAATATATATATATGTATATATATAATATGATATATACATATATTAACCTGGAAATTCTATGGAAGGTCTGTGACGCGTCGCCGGAATATGTCCAGAATCTCTCAGAAGACGCTCCATGGCTCCAAAGATTCACTCATTTCCTGCAGAATATCCAGGTTCGGAATAGGTGGGGAGCCCCGAGCATAGGCATACCCAGGAAAGAGTAGATGTTATTTGTACATTTAATATATATATATATATATGAGCGACGTGCAAAACCTCTTATGCGTTGTAGTGCGCACGCTTCCCAACGTTATCGTTTTTTTCTGTGAACCTTATCGTTCCTGAAGGTTTCCTTCACTTTACTTACTTAGTCTTCACTGCAGCGATGTTGCCTTCATCGGAGGTTTTGGCAGTTGCTCATATGTATATATATATATACATAAATATTGACTTATAATGACTTATATACTATCCTTCAGCAATGAATAGTTGTGTCGGACGCCTGGTCTGTGCTGGTCAACCCAACAAAAATCCAAAACTGTTACAGTAGATGTCCCGTCCACTTAAGGCAGCCATTAAACACTTGAAACATACTTAACAAGCATGCCACCAAAATGATAGAGTTGCAGTATGTCTATCATGTCATGTGAGCGTGAGCTGCAATGGGACCCACCTTGTGACTATATTCATCTATATATGTCTATTTGTTAGTAACCGTTAGACTCCGATAGACCGGTAGACCTTCCCAACTGTCAACTCCAGCCAAGGGTCATCGAGCATGTTCGGTATCGTCACACTGGCGGGGCAGTTGTGGGGCGCACACAGACGCATGCATGTGGTTCGGTGAAACCGGAGCTTTGCACCCTGACGCCTCCCATGGCCTGTGACAGCAGCTACTTGCCCCTAGTAGTGCGGCCAGGAGCCCCTAGTAGCGTCCTTGCTCCTAGTAGCGATGCCAGGAGCCCCTAGTAGCTTCTTGTTGTATAGACAAGATGTATTGTCTATCTGCTGCATGAGTGTTCTACAGTTCTCTGGCGACCGGAGCACGTCGCCACAACGACAAGCATGGTCACACAAACCATCCTCTCAAACCACCGCCAGTGGCCCACCGGCTCGCGCCTCCTTCTGTGAACGACGTATCTGGGCGGCACGCGCCTCCGCCTGGTCCACCAGACCGTCCCGATGGTCGATCTTCGCTGATGGGACATGAGCGAGGAACATAAAGATCAACATCAGGTCAAGTCTTGCGGCATCAGATTTGAGCTGCTGCGATAGAACACCTGCAAATCTAGGAACCGATTCATACCAGCGTGGGCGTGGGTTCTTCATTTATTCCAACGACGACACACCAGAGACTCTGGGATGACCTGTCCATCACGGCGTCTCAGCGTGCCATGCCCAAAAGAATTCCATCGATGGGGAGGTTCAACACGGGTTCAGCCCCCAGTAGCGTCCTTGCTCCTAGCAGCGATGCCAGGAGCCCCTAGTAGCGTCCTTGCTCCTAGTAGTAAGGCCAGGAGCCCCTAGTAGCTCCCTGTTGCCTCGGCTTCATCCTCTTCACGTTGAATTTCCTCCGCCTTCTGGGCCTCTTCTTCCGCCCGGGCCTCAACAACTGGGTTGGACACTGAAGCCCGATCCAAGAATGTATAGGGTAGTCCAGTGGATGAGAAGACTATCGAAAACCCATGATTAAACTCTCTCCCAGATCTCATGAACCCCTATCCAACTATGTCCAACTTGTTCCTTTTTTCAATTTCCTTCAAAGATGTTAAAAGGCGTCACATCAATCCCTGGTATATTTTTCGTTTGACAAGATTTACTTATATCTGCCTACCAAAACCTTCCTGGTGACCTTTTTCGGACTCCTAAGAGACCTTTTCCAGGGTCTACATATACTACCAAGACATTGCTGGTTTTTGAAGGTCACTCACCTCCCAACCGCCCCAAGAGGTTGAGGTGAGGGTTGGGGTATTCGGACCAACATCTGGCTGGGAATTCCGATCAACTATAGATAACTATATAACATTATTGTGTGCCAATGCTGCATTTATCCAAAAGGTTGCCAACTCCCCCGTGTTTGAGCTAGTATCCTTGAGGATCTCAAAACAAAAAATAAGTCTATTGTTGGTTTCTTCGGCTTGTCTCAAATCTCAAAGGTAATCACCCAAGTCTTGCCCTAGAATACTCTGAAAATCTCAGTTCTGGTCCGCGGTGGGCTCTAACAAATTAGCAGACTTCCAACTCACTGAACAATGTCGCTGTGCTTTTGGAGTGATTGTCTGGAGCTGAGGAAGGGGCAAAGCTCGTCACCGCAGCACGCACCCGCTCCATGTCAAAGTCAGGGAACACGTCCAACGCAGGTAGCTGGTCTGCCTCTGCTTCGTTGGCCAAAACGTCTCCAGTTACTTCGAGTGCTTTCCAAAGCCAATTGGGAGACTAGCAAGTCTATCACTCACTTAAGACATCCCCCCTCACTCCTTTCGCCCAAAACTCCCCGAGCATGCTAGACGCTTGCGGACGTCGCAGCCCAAAGATTCCTACAACCTCTCCACATCCAAATCTCTTCCGGGCCACTGCAGGCCACCAGCTCCTAGCACTTCAGAGGTTTTCCTATCATCCTGTTCATGTCCAAGAATGATCTATCCCCGGATTTAATAAGTCAAACTCATGGCGGGTCATCAAAAACACGCCACTCCTAGAGCTTCAGCTTTTCACCTTCGTTCCGAACATGTTCCAAAACACCGCAGCTTCGCCTCATCGGGAGTCGAAGGCCACGAGTCAGCCTCGGGATTCCCGAGGCGAAGGAGCAGCGAACCGAAACGCATGGAACGGCCTTTGTCTTCTTCAACGAGGCATTCGAGGAGCAGATCCCTTCGTGAACTGAACAAGTTGGGTGTTGAATATGTTGAATGAACAAGTGAGATTGGATCCACATTCCCTACAACGCCACGAACCAGACGAACAAGGGCTAAGGGATAGAGAGAGAGCACGCTATAATACGCTATATATGATGACCCAACAAAGATCCAACTCGGCAATTCCACGACGAATTCTCCGCCCGCCTGCGACATGAAGTTGCGACAGAATTCCTTCAACCAATCGTATTGGTTTGAAGGAATCGGCGCCGGTCTCAGCGAAGTGTGGCAATATTCGCTGATCACACCAACTTGCAAGCTTACTTAGAGGCTCTCTAACTTAGAGGGTGATAGACAAACATCAGCCGGTTTTACATGGACCTTCTTGATCCAAGGTGGAAAGCCCTAAAGTGGTGTGAACCTGTACAGCATGAGCACAACCTGAAAAACTTGTTGCCGTTCTTGAAACTCCAAACATGGCGTGTTTCGGCGTGTGAAACATGAGGATTCCTCAGAGTCTGACTTCAGGTAGAGTAAAGACCTTGCTGCCCAATCGCACCTGGACAGCAAACAGGGATCAACATTCTTCTGATACTTGGCACAGTGGGTTCATGTTAAATTTAAGTTCAGTAGGTGCGCCTGGCATCGCTACTAGGAGCAAGGACGCTGCTAGTAGCTCCTGGCCTTACTGCTAGGAGCAAGAAGCTAATAGAAACAAAATAGAATTAAGTGTAATTTGAATTCCCCATAGTCAGACTTGCAGGAATGTCAGATCTACTGGTGTGGCCAAGAGAGATTGGACTAGGTTGGGCACACAAGTCACTATGCATAATGCACCAGAATCTCTCAATACAGTGACCTTGGTCCCATACAAAGCATGCAAAGTCTTTCTTTTTGTCTCCATCACATCTTGTCGGCCTCAGTGTGTGAGACCAGGCTTGCCAAGTACATGCTGCTGATTCTCACAAAGTCTGTTCAAAGCCTGCCACAACTCGGAACTGTTCTTCTAAGTTCTAAATATATAATATCCAAAAGGCTTTTCACATGAGTGGATGGAACAAGAAGCCAAACATACCACAAATACCTCAAGACCTCAAGTATCCTCAAGTCAACGTACTTTGGACCTGGAAGGTTCAAGACGTGACCCGCTCTGCCCGACATTGCTGAACCCCATTCTTTGACATGCCTTCTGTTTTACGTACACCACCCAACAAATCTGCTTAATCAGGTTGCTTGCGGGGACTCCTTCGAATCGGGTCGAATTCAATCCAAGATGCCATAGGCATTCCAACTCGCCACTTGATGGATGGTCCATGCTTTTCGCTCTTGAGCTTCTTCCTCACAAACCAGAGACGGAGAAGTTATCATCAAAGACTTGAGCAAAAGTTGCAAGTCAAAAGGCAGTTAGAAACACCCAGCTATTGCCAATCGACTAGTGTATGGACTGTTTCTGGGTGTTTCTGAGTCAAAAGGTGGCCAATCTGCTCGCCTGCACGGACAAGAATCGATTGATTGCCTCCTCGAGTGGCAAGCCGGAGCCGACTGGGTGAAAGAGTGCATCGGATGTAATTAAGTTAATGATTGGGAAACTATGTAATTAAGTGCCTGGCAGTTTAAGACCCGAAACTGTTTGACGATATACTTCATGCAATAACATGTTTCCCTGAGATAAGAGGGTTCCGTCGAGATGCTAAAACACAATCTTTGCAACATGGTGTTGCCCCGTCGCGGGGCAGTGAACGGTCCTCTTATTGCAAGCGAGCAGTGATGAAAACAACACGTGAATAAGGAAAAGGAAAGCTCACCACATGGGCCCCTGAAGGTGTATTTCATTGTGTTTCTATAGAGATTAGAAGATATTAGAAGGGTAGTCTTTCAATCTTTTTGCTGGCCTCGCAATTCATTCAAATTCATTCTCAAGTCCCATCTTCTACAATTTCTATATAGATAATTATAGGTATAGTTTTGTGACAGTTGTGTGTCTCTTGAAAACATCTTTGCACCAGATCTTGGTCTGCCGACCCCTCTTGTGACACCCTGGCTTCAGAAAATGCAATCGCGTGAGCCTCCACAAGTGGATGGACCGCTGGTTCTTGTCCAAACTTGGTGAGCCATGGCAGTGGGCTGTGGGTCTTGATGTGCCAGGAGACCCGGCAGGATGCATGTGATGCATGCTGGCCTGCTTAAAGTGGCATCTAAAATGCCGGAATAATGGAGGCGGGTTTTCACCGACTCTTGATTTGGGAAACCTCAAAACACGAACAATGGTCATCAAAGCTCACTTTGGGCTGAGTTGCACCGATGATTGTCATCATATCCGAGAAAGCAACGTACTTGGGCATCAAAGTTGTCCCGTGCTCTTGAGACAAGCGGACACATGATAACACCGTGCACCTCCACCAGTGGATTGAAAACTATGAAAGTATTCTGGTTCAAATTCAACTTGTGTTGGCATGTGTTGGCTAGTATTCAAATTTACTAACCTAGCGGCCACTCGTCACACTCTCTGTTTGCTCCACGCCAAGCGGCTACATAGCGCTTCTGAAGCGCCTGGCACAAAAGGGGTCTCACCTTCTCATGCAAGTGTGGGGACCATGTCCTCATGATTATGGTTAGGACATGAACGAAACATCCTGTTCCACACAGCAACTCGAAACATCTCGAGAACCGCAAGCAAGGAGAACTAGAAACTTGAGGATTGAAGTTCACACAAAGTGTGGAAGCATGTCACAAGTAATGTAAAAAGGGTTGATGAAAACATGAAGGCTTTCGCCCAGCATCCAAAGGGTGTAAAGTTCCTTGTCAATGTCTCCTCAGGTCTCCTCAACCCTCGATCCGCCCCCCATCTCCGCCTTGCGAAGCCCGCCCAGAAGCTTGGAGACTTGACAGGTTGAATTGGAGCCCCACCCTTCACCTGCAAGCGTGGTGTGCCAACAAGCAGAAGGATTTGTGTCAAGCATTTGAGGTGATTGGAGGCTGGAGAAGCGAACATCTGGAACAAAGCCTGGAACAAATATGACCTGAAAATCGAAACCAGCAAGTAAAGAACTGGCAACATTATCACCAAGGACCCCCAAACTTACATCTCTCAACGACCCATGGTCATGTTCCTTCCAAAACTGCTGGACGCTTCCAAGTTGCTGCCAAACAAGATCCTAGGACCGCGCAGTGCCACGCAGGCACGGCAAAGCTTAAAGAGCAACAAAAACAAACCACTGGAGATATCATTATATGTGCGCAAACAGTATATAGAAGTCAAGACCTTGAGCTCATGACAAACTTCCCTGCGGTTTTGTTCAAAACAAGGGACGACCGCACCACCGCGGATCAGTGTACAATCATTCAAGAAATGGTGTTTAAAAAATCCTTGCGTTTGACGGACATTTCTTCCGGGCATGTTCTCCATCTAACTATGACGCTAACTGCTAACTCTTGATGTATGAATTGATGGCCCCCAGTGCGCTGATGCACCATACGTTTCCAACCAAAACCCGGTTCCACCCTTCCACCATCCTTGCCAGTAGGCACAAACTCAACAGGCACCAGAACCGAAACTGGCACATAACACACACCTGCTACAAAAGGCGTGAAAATACGCGAAACGATTGCCGTGCAGGACAGGCCACGTGCGCAGCAGGTTGGAGAGTTTCTTGCTGTTCGAGCCCAAGCGCAAGCGCTCTTCTACTTGAGAATTCCTGCACAGGGCCGCTGGGCCACTTCTGGAATCCCCAAGACGGAGAACAAAACACATGCCGTCCCATGTTCAGCAACCACCCAAAGTACTTTACCCTACAATGATACTATTGCGATGATTTGACCAGTTTTCGTGGCCCCACGCCACTTGCATATGTGTGCACTTCGCCGGTCCAGCTGGCCCATGTAGCTGGAATGAGGAAATCCCGCACTTGTTTGGCCATCTTTTTCTTGTCTTCAAGGCCTGAGTGAGTTGAAGCCGCGGTCACGAAGTTGTGGCCGCTCAAAGCAGTCTGCGCCCGATGGGTTCGAACAACAAACCAACAGCTGCAAAACGCAGCTGTCTGTGGACATTTCCTCCCGCAAGTTGTCTAGACTCTAGACAACATCCTTTTGAGACCTGAAAAGTTTGAGAAGGGGGGTTGTACAGTTTTTTAAACATGTATATGTTGTTTCCCCACATTGACGTGTGGAGTTTTTGTTTTTAGTGTGGTATCCGCTCCTCCGCCTCCTCCTCCTCCTCACACCTCCCGCTTGCCACCAACCAATTGCTACCCACCAATTGTCACCAACCAATCCCACCAATTGCCATCTACCATTTGTCATCAACTGATTGTCATCAACCAATTGCCACCCACCAATTGCCACCAACCAATTGCCACCCACCAATTGCCATCTACCAATTGTCATCAACTGATTGTCATCAACCATTTGCCACCCACCAATTGCCATCCACCGATTGTCATCAACCGATTGTCATCAACCAATTGCCACCCACCAATGGCCATCCACCACCTGTCATCAAAACCAATTATCATCAACCAATTGTCACCAACCATGCAATTGTTATCAACCGACTGTCATCAACCAACTGCTACCAACCAATTGTCATCAACCAATTGCTTCCAACCAATTGTCACCAACCAGTTGCCACCAACAACTTGTCATGAGCTAACTAGAGCTAGAGCTGTTGAAAGTCCGTAACACGGAAGTTTTGCACCCTAAACTTCCTTTGATTAAAGTTAACAGGTAAAAAACTGGCCAGGTTAGAATCATAGCTCTGTTTAAAACACACATACCCGCTTACAACACACACACACACACACACGCATCACCGTTTAAAAATCAAAGTAAAAAAGCACATCTCCGTTACAAACACACGGATATATAGAAACGCGTACTGATTTGAATGCCGCGCGCCACACGGCGACCTAGGAAACCAGATTCCTGAGAGGAACACCAAAGCCTGTGCATCCTGGCGGTCTTCAAAAGAAGAGGAGGCCCAAAGCGCAAGAACCAACACGACGGTCACGGATCGACAAGGTGACGACGGCCACTCATGTCTGGATAACTCATTAGACCTTTACTGAAGAGTGGAGTCACAACTTGTTCAAAAGTTCAAAACATCGCAGCTATGATTCCAAGGATTACACACACACACGCCTCCCCGAAGGGAGGCGAAAAGTGCTAAGGCCAAGACGGATACGCGCGCACGCAGCAAAGACAAAAGAATGAAGACATGACAAGGGGACGGGACGGGGCAAAGGTGTATGCGGTTGCGATGAAAGGGAACCAAGTGCACAGGGACAAACAATGAAAACCCACCTCATTATGAAGACGTGGGCGACCTGAAACCTGGGTTGAAAGTAAAAATGTAGTTGCGCACGTACACACTAAGGCCGGGACCAATGTGCGCGCGCAAACGAAAGAAAGGATGAGATGACAAGACATGAAGACAGGAGGGCATGAAAGAAAAGAGGAAAACAGATGTGTGTGAAGGGGATAAGGGAACGAAATGGAGGGGGGCGACCTCGTTTACACGTAGACGCTGCGCGCGCACCTAAGAGTGGAACAGGCTCCTTGAGCAAGCTTCGGCCGCTGCGGCCACGTACGCCTTGCCAAAATGGCTGGCTGCTCTGACAGCTATGGTCACGTTAGGGCATGCCCGGAGGCGGCCAGCTTAGAATTCGAGAATCCGTCCAGTCTTGGCAAATGACTTTGGCGCAAGCCTACTCCGCCCGCTCTTGGCACGTGCGTTTCCACGGCATTAATGGAAACAACGACAAACCCCCGTTCAACGGGTCCACAGGGGGCGCTCGGCGGGCTCACCCTGGGCTCTCACTCAGGAGAGACACACTTACAGAAACGCATACTGATTTGAACGCCGCGCGCCAGACGGCGACCTAGGAAACCAGATTCGTGAGAGGAACGCCAAAACCTGTGGATCCTGGAGGTCTTCAAAAGTTTGTCACTGGCGCTGGACAAGCCGTTTTGGATTGCTACCCTGTGAACGCTGACGGGTATACCACACAAAACAATCTATATAACCTCTACGCAGGCGTTGAAGAATTGTTTCCCTTTGCCATCACAAACCACCCAACATAGAAAAGACTACAAAGGCACGTGCGAGAAACTGAATCACGTGACCAGTTGTAGTGTTGGGAGCGTTAATCCCAGTGACACAAGTCTGTGCGCAAGAAGGTCCCGTTTGCTAAGTGAACTTGTACCACTGCTCAGGAATTCTTCATCTTTCTTTGTCAAGTACGCAAAAGAGGTCAGACTTTGTTTTGGCCTGGCGCCCTTGGCAGCCTGACCTGGAAGGATCGTTTTGATTGACTTCACAAGATCTGTCTTGCGTGGGGGTATCCATGGGCCTTCTTTGATCTTCTTGATCAATACACTGGCTTCCTCAACTGTCCACTCGTGCACTTTCAAAGGCCACATGGCCACTTGACATTGCTGATCCAAACATTGTTGGCAATCTTCGTTGGACAGTATACTTTGTTGCGCCTCAAGGAGGGTCTTCAGGCTGTCCAGCACGCCAAGTAGTGACATTGCAAGAACTATCCATACAAAATTGGCTACACGACTAGCAAGCGAGTCGTGGTGACCCTGCGAACGCGCGAGCAAGAAGGCCCTGCAAAACAAACAGTGCCTGTGAAAAGGCTTTTAAAAGATCTTAAAAGCACATCTCCGGCTTTCAATTCAGAGTATACCTCAAGACCACTCGTAGGATGTCCAGGTCCAAAGTCGCCGATCACCTGGCGGCAGCGAGGCGAAAGTAAAGTTTGCAAGGCGCGAAACAAAAACACGACTGTCTCCAACTTGAACAACAAAAGAACAAATGACCCCCGCCATGACTCTTCAACTTGAAGCCTGCTGAGCTTACGCGCAAGAAACATTCACCAACAAAGACAACGCACAAACAGTCATATGTTTTGCGTTTACGCATTGAGCGTGTGATAGCGCTGGCTCTCTATAGCCCTTGCGTTGGTGCCCATAGCCCTGCGTGATCACTCACAAGCACGCTGCTTTGAAGCCACGCCGCATAACCCTGCTCCATGCGCAAGTCATGATACACACTGCTAACTACACTTGGCTTACGCCACAGGCACTTCAACTTTAATTTTGAAACCTAGCAAAAGGTGGGTTTACAAGGCAACCCACAGCGGCAAGCGAGTTGTGGACCTTGCAAATGTGCGAGCAAGAAGGCCCTGCATCGCATTTTGCAAATGATTTGAATTTGATTTGAGTTTGTTCCAAAGTCTGTGAAAAAGCTTGCAAGCACATCTCGGCTTTTAATTGAGCGTATATCTCAGGAACACTCCTAGCATCAAGCTACACCAACTGAAACATGCCAAGGTCCGAAGTCTTGCCCAGATCCACACTCCCTGGCAGACTGCAGGCCTGCGTGCCAGCAGGAAAGCACCTGGCCAGAGTGAAACAACGAAGGTCAAGGAATGCTTGCGCTAGCAACAAAGTCAATGTTTGCTTTCCATGCGCTGATAGTTTCAACCGTCGTTTCAAAATTTTTCAAATTTCAGTGGCAAAAACTCCACGAATTGAACAAATGAACCACTCCCGGTCTCCAACCCTCCAAGCATGCTGCGCTAACACGCAAAAAACACGGACCAACTGGAAAACGCATTCACCAACAAGGACAACACACTGGCCAGCACTCCCTTTTGTTGATCAACAAGTCATTCAAAGGTGTGCTTCCAAGCAGTCTTTCAACTGCGCCGACGCTTGGTAGGCCACTGCCGTTCATTCAGTTTGTCACGCGCACTCCTGCCGGCATTGTTGGTGTGGCTTTGCGTGTACTCCACCAACGGGACGTTGTACTCCATTTTTCGTCTCCCCTGCCATTTAAGGTTCAACGTGTAGGAGGAAATGATCCAATCCAGGGTCAAGGCCTTCATGGCCCACACACTCACACCGCGTAGACAACACCCCGCTGCACTTGCCGGAGTCCGGGTCTATAACATAGTTCGCATTCACGCTGAGATTGAGTATCTGATAGCGCGGTGGGTCTCTCACCTGGTCATCATGATGCGTCGGCAGGGTCATCTCAGATTTCATGATCACTCCACAGCATGCTACTACAACCTCTTCGAATCGCGTTTAGCTCGGGTTTCAAAGCGAGCCACATAGCCCTGCTCAGTGCGCGAGTGGTGATACACCCTGCTAACTGACGGTCGATGTCATGTCCACAACAAGGTGGATGCAACAGTTGTCCACCATGAAAGCCACACACGTCAAGACTGCTGACACAGCGTACACACATGGGAAAACATAGGAAAACACTTTGGATGCTGGCAAACAAATGGGCTTCGACGTGGTTGTTTCATGCATCTGAAAAGTCCTTCCAGCCATCACCCTGTGGCTCACCCCCATCATTGCCCCCCGGCTCATCATCCGGCTCATGAGCCGGCTCATCCTGCTCCAGCTCTATAGGCGCTGCTCTCAGGCCAAGTCCGGAGTTGCAAGAGGCGAGGCCCGGTGACGGAGGTTTCTCCGAGGAAGTTTCCCATCCGGGTGATGTAATAGATTTGATGGTTGAAATCTTTACGCACTACCCCAGGTCCAAATCTGTAGGCTGCTGTTACTTCCCAGTCGCTGAATGGTAGAGTGATTTTGCTCTTGGCCTGTCTACACTCCATGAAATGATCATGGGACTGGAAAACCACGGTTCCTTTCCCCAATACTTGACTAATGTCCAGCAGAGTGACAATCAACCTTTGAAAATCACCTTCATTTGCGGGAGAACTGGAAGAAACTACTGTCAGACTGACCCACTGTGAACCACTACCATCCGAGTGACGTCAAATTTGAAGAGGGTGCATCTGGGTTCTGCACTTCCTGACATGAGGCAAGAATCGCGCGTCAACATCGGCCAAGAAAACAAAACCGAGTATCCCTTAGCTTAAGACATCCCTCTTGATTTGATCAGCACGCCTACACGGG